GAAGTCTCAATGACGTCACCCTTCTGACCATGCTTGCTCTCCGGCACTTTGTGCAACCACCTCAGCTGCGCCAGGATATTGGTGGCTTGGTTGCGCTTCTCAGTTCGGGTGCGTAGTTCGACCATGATGAAATGTTGGGCAGTATATGATAATATATATGATAGATGATTCTGGCTGTACTTTCACCATCAGGCCTTACGACAGCTTTATTTGCGACGAAAGATCAAGCTTGAAGACTGCTGACTCGACCCCATGATTTCTGTTACGGCTTCGCATGCAGATTGGACGAAACAGGGTTCTGCAAGGAGCCAAGAACAGTCAAGAAGAAACCTTATCGGATTGTCGCGATCCATCAAGATAGACCCTAAATTGATGCCTCAAACTGGGCAAGATGCCGATGCTTTAAGACACGTAGAGGTTCAGGGTTGGGGCAATTGCGGTTAGTTAGAATTTTTACAACACTCAGGAATGCGATACGGGTCAGCAGGAATATGTTAGAATAGTAACGCCAAACCCTTCAGGGTTGTTGTGTCAGACGTTCCGCGAGACGTTCTGCAAGGTGGCTACTACTCACCAGATCCGTTCCTGACCTCCCAAGCCATGCGTCCAAGCCCCACCTTTAACTCCATCATTGACGCAGTGCTTGCGGCCTCGGGCTTCTAATCACAGGTTGAGTCTCAACTCCCGTAACTAACAAGCAATAGTGGCGTGTTTGGATCCTTCTAAATCTTCTAACAAGCTGATGCCAACATATGTTGCTTTTGACTTTTTAAAATTTACAGGTATTTGTTGTTCTTCTTTAGGTTGTCAGCAATTTGCTCTTCATCCTACAATGCCTGGGATGGAACCAGGGTCTGTTAATGCGCTGCGAGACGCCTTTCTGAGACTCGTCAGCCTAATTTTCCAAGGGCTGGCTGCCAGGCTTTGTGTTTGTTGAGATCAAAACATGTACCGTAAACAAAAATGTAAAGCAACAAAACAAAGGTTGAGCATTTGGTTTGACACTGTTCTTTTCCTGCACCATGCCCGATGGCTGAACGTCAGAAAATCCTGTGAAGTCTCGAGCAGGCACCTCCCCTCTTTCTTGCTGATTTGACAGCGATCGATTTCTGTGAAAATAGCTCTTGATGCAGCCTGATCACAGAGCAGATGTGAACATGGTGATCAACTAGGTAGCGACCGGCTTCAGTATTGTTTGTGTATATACAGGCAGGCAGAGAGAACTGCAGGTTGGATGGTGGCTAAACGCTTTCACTCTTCGGCCAAATTGAATGCAGGGCTGGCCTGATCATCCTAGTGATATTTTGAAATTTGTTACTTTTTCAATGATCCACATCTGGATAACTGTTCTTTGACCAAGTGGATCCGATCGGGGAGCCAAAAGTGAACAACAGCTAAATGGCTGTTCAGGCCAATGGGATTGTGGACCATGCCAAGCTTGGCACCCTCAAGTTCAAGACCCTTTTCAAAGTGTCAGTGACCAGATTCTCGAATCTAGGCAAGCTGCACAGATGCTGCCAGAGAGGGTTTTATGGTTTTGCATTTAGTTTGTTTCAAGGCTTTTCATCAGGAGAGTTTTTTGACTCCTCCCCTGAGTCCCATGACTTTCATACATTGGTCCTTGGCTAGCAGATACCCTCATCAAAACCATCCGAACGTTCCGAACGGTTCGTTTCTTTTCTGACGATGCCACTTCGAAGAGAACTTCTAAGCGTTTGATTGGGGAAGTCCCCTGGCAATTGCCATCCGTCCGTTCTTTTGGTAGGTGATCTTCGCGAACCAATCCACCTGGCAATTGACCTTTAGCTGGAACCTCCGCCATGCTTCGCTGCTTGTGACCAATTGGCTGCAGAGTAGTGAAACTAGGTATTGTTGGTGGTGCTGAGATCAGGAACGTAGACAAGGCAAAGGTAAAGGCATGCCACGGGTCTTCACTACAGATCGGTTGGCAGGTTGCTGCTTTCCCTTTGCCGGCACCGCATTTTAGTAGACCTTGGTTCAAAGATCCTAGGCCAAAGCTCCTTGGCTGCAAGTACATGCAAGTACACTCCTCATGTCACAGAATGGTTTAAGGAATCATCTGCAAGTACAGTACTTTGTCATCACATGTTGCCTTTGCCTAGCTTACTCCGGCGACGACGTTCGATGGCAGGTGGAATGACATGCTACACTAAACGTGTAAACCTAGATGATAAAAAAACAAGATCTATGTGCTGTCAAGGAACTTCCGAAGTCACCGAGGCTGGATTTGCCGAGAGCCTCAGAGGCTCACTAGCCGCGCCCTGCTCGCCTCGGCACCTTGGTGGATGTGCAAAGGCCTGTTGATTGGAGGGATTGGAGTTTCCAGATCGGCTGGTTTGTTCAGTTTCTTCCACATGCTTTCCAGGGATCAGCTGGTTGTTTCATGCTTTTGTCTAAGTGGAGATGTAAGATAAGTCGTAATAAGTTAAACTGACTGCAAGCCCCATGTGGGTGAGCTTTTGCTCCGTGTGCTTTGTTGTTGGCATCGGTTCAAGAAGGCCATTGAAGCTATTGATTAAGAGAAAGGGGGAGTTGTGATTTGATCGAACGTGCAAACCTAAAGCAAGTGGGAAACTATCAGGTTCCAACATGTTCTGCATGCATGATAGGTCACAACCCCTTATCCAGATCACAGTGACCAAGGTTCGCAGCACCGCCTTTGCTCATTTCTGTGGAGGGGAGACCCTTCAGGAGTGCAGCTTTTGCGTTGGACTGTTTGCTTGGTGACAAACGAAAGCTCTTCTATGAAGCACCGAAGAAAAACTCTGGCAGCGAACGAACCGCACGGACACACACACAGATACTACACACGTAAGGTCTAGTTTCATAGGCGTTGCAGACTCAAATCTCTACAAATGACCTGTTTGAAGCCTCGCAGTACTTCTTCCCACCAGAATTCGTTTTGTCACATCTGCAAGCAAGGGATCTTGCAGTGGTCGTGCCGGAACTTACTCCTTTTGTGGCAAAACTCGTCGTGCAGGACTGTGTGGGGAGAGGAAAGCATTTGAGCAGTGCAGGCAGTGCCTGCTCATGGATTTGATGAGATGCTACGCCCATGATATGCGCACCTTGGTTATCACACAGTGTCTCCATATGTTTGTAATTACTCGCTTCGCAAAGAGCAGGCTTGCAAGGCTGTCAATCTGTCTCGCCGAACAGCAGACATGTCCCAAGCCGCCTTGACAGTAATCGAGCTTGGTGGTTTGTTTTGTTTGATTCGGGGACTGGAGAATGCTGCAAGTAAGAATACTAGTCTTAGGCCTTTTGGAACCTGAAGCACTTCACAAGCATGCTCTCTCTATATAGCTCCTATGGTCCTATAGGTGTGCTGATTGCCAGGTGTGAGATGCATAGTTGACTGGGGCGTTGAGGCCTGGCCCCAGCTTTTGGCGCTTTTAGGTCACATCCACACACTCAAACAAGACAGCAGCTAGTACAGGTACCGTATGTTGCATGCTCCTTTTTTTATATGGTCTATTGGAAGACATGAACACGAGGGATCACGAGTGACAGGAGGACAAGACCTGGGATGAAGCCTGAAGACTTCTACTCCAAGTCGCGTGCATTATTCTTGTCGGCTTCACCAATCGCTCCTTTTTTCCTACCCCGGATGCTTCGTGTTAACAGAGTTGTTACTGTAATTTGAACTCCTTTGCAATCGTAAATTTTCGGGTAGCCTCAACCCGACAAGGAAAGCAGTGAGCCTGCTGCCTGGGAGACAAATATGTTGCGGAAGGTGGGCATCTTTGCAAGTGAGAACTCTTGAAAAGATTGCATTGGGAGCTTGTTTCCCAACCTTGCTGCTAAAGATCTGGACAAGTCAGTTGGATTGGTTTCTGGGGTCGGTGCTGATCATGTGCTTTCTGTAGTGGAACACTCTGCAGGTTGAGACACTGCAACGTGCAAAAGAGGCGTGTGCTGGACACGGCTTCCAAAGAAGTTTGCTTTTGTAGGTTGTCTGTTGAATGAAGTAGAATGAAGGACAATGAAAGCATCCGAAACTCCGAAAGCAAGAGAATTGCAAGATTTCCACATATGGATATCCTTGTTGCAAAAAGGTTCCAAGGGCCGTTTAAAAGAGCTGATTGCTGATCCAGGTGCTTGGCTTAAGTGCTGCTTTTATGCCCATCAAGCTCACATCCATCCTTTCACCGGCCTGTTGATCCCAGTGAGGCTTCTTTGCAGGTCTTCATGTGTTAAACATGTTTGTCCTTAGAGAGAGAGAGAGAGAGATTTTCTGAGATTCTGAGGACTACTGGAAGGTCACACGCAGATCAATCCATATTCTAGTTAGCAAATTTGAAGGGACCCTAGCCCTAGCCACTCCATCGAGAAGGCACTTACAGGCCATGCTTTGAGAAGCTGTCAAAAACAATAGCCTTGCCTGAGCACAATGTGGGACCCTGCGAAACCCCTTGGCCAAGTCGTCAAATAGTCACCAACTGCTCCCCATGAACACCCCTACTAGTAGCGTCCTTGCTAGTAGTAACAAGGGCATTACTACTAGTAGCAAAAGGACGCTACTAGGAGCAAAGGGCATCGCTACTAGTAACAAGGACGCTACTAGGGGCTCCTGGCCTTACTACTAGGAGCAAGGACGCTACTAGTAGCGATGCCCTTGTTACTACTCGTTTGCCAACGAGGAGGAGCACGCCGTCCGAAACTCTGAGGCTCTGTTGGAGCGCTGGACCGCGGTGGTCCAGGCCTCACAGATTTTTGGAGCTTGCATGGGGCATCAGTATCCCCATGTCAATGTATCCCCTAACGATGAAGCATAGAAAAGACCTGTTATTATTATCATGAATCATATGAATCATTGATTATCTACTGAAGAGAACACTTATATACGACACATTGATGTCTGCTTAACTGTGTTGGAGAGGTTCTGATGGTTGTTTTCTGAGGACTTGACCCCAAATGTGGGTCTCTTGTTGCATGAGCCATTCGTTGATTGGAGTGTGCTCATTCTGGACGCCAGGATGGGAGCCAGCCTCCAGAGGACCTGCTATTCAAACCCGACAGTTGCAGTGGGATGTGATGAGGAAGCTGGGTGATTCAGCACGGACTAACCATGGAGTCTACATGTGTTCTGACTAGCGAGGCTATGGTACACCCGGGTAGTACACCCTCCATGCCAGGTTTCAGGCACCACAATATCCCTCACAACAACCGATGTTTGTCACTTCGAGGACCTTCGTGACCCCGGCGTTTTGAGCCATAGCCCTAGCTCCAAAGGTACCAGACGACGCTACTGAGTTGATCCAGGAACTCCTGGCATTCCCATGTCTTCTATGGATGGGCCATTGAAATTGGATTGACAGGAGTTCAGATCTAATAATATATATATATATATTCACCATGACTTGAACAAGGATCCTTTCCCACAGGTGACAATTTGTGACAAGCATCCACTCCACGGGAGTCCCTATTTGTATCTCCCGCTCTGCTCCAACTCAGCCAGGATTGGCACCTGGAAGAAGAGGTTGCTGCTGCACTTCAGCGCCTGCGGCGCATTTGCGAGGCCGCCTCACAGGTCGTTGGTAGTTTTTGCTTCACAGAAGCGAGGAGTCAATTGCCGACAGGTGACGTGTTTTAAACTCTGGGTCTTGGAAATAACGAGGGCATCTACTCGTGATGTGTTTAATCATTGTCACCATCAGATCCAAGCAGTTTGCAGATATAGACATGACGTGACCCTTGCAACGGATGGCAGAGGTTGCACCTGCCAAAAATCGGGACTGTTTGGGCAGAAACTCTCGAATCTTTGCCCCAATCGTTAAGCCCAGATCGAAAAAGCTCCAGGCATTCTGCTAAAGGAAGGATCCGTGATGGATTGCAGAGATGACAAACAAGACTTCCCCAAGCCTCCTCTCTTTGGGCAACTGTTGGCGCCAATAAATCAGGTGTCGGAGAAGACACCCTGACATTGTGCCACACCGTGCAGACAACCTGCCAAAATTGACAATCAGCATGCCAAACGCTTGGAAATTGCACCCCATACGTCCGATCGGGCTGGAGTGCACATCAGGCTGCCAAAGATGCAGCCCGAGCCTTGAGGTGATTCATGTTCGTTGGTTTGCTCATTTGGAACGGCAATGTTACTACTTGTAGTAGCTTCTTGCTACTAATAGCGATGCCCTTGTTACTAGTAGCTTCTATTGCTCATTTGGATTGGCAATGAGGCTCTTGAAAATGGGTCGACCAACGATACTCGCCCTCACACTCGGAGTTGTTGGCCTAGTTGTTGATCTTCGGATTGCCATATTCTCAGGCTATACCGCTCCTGTTGGATGCTGAACAGTCAGGCAGGCAACCAGCTGCGCAGGGCTCGGTCTGCTGAGTTCGTCTTTGATTCCTGCATCATTTCAATCTACATGAGGCATTCAACTTGTTGGTAAACCAATTAGTGATATGTCGGACTGCCTTTAAGACACTTTGTCAAGGTCCATCTTTTGGCGAGACAGCTGCAAAGGGAGTTTAACACCGAGGACCGGAGTTTCCACTGCGTGTGAAGTGTTCTTTTCCTGTCATCATTAACAGGCAAGTCGTCTTTTTTTAGGGGGTACGCCGGGGTTAGTTAGCAGTAGCTTATGTAGCTCCTAGACAGGGCACTGAAGAGCTCAGGCTTCTTCAAGAAAGCTCCCCCCGGTTGAGGGCAGGGGGTAGCTTCCTTGAATACCCCCTCGCATTATTGGTTTGGTTCCTAATATTTACTCGTAGTAAGTAGTGATTGGGGCTATCAGACACCAGGAGTTTGTTGCTAAGCTGCGAAAGCAGAAGAATTTGACTGAAAGGCTGCAGAGAATCAGCAGTGATTCCCACTAATTATAGGCCCTCAGACCCCGACCTGGCTCATGTCACGTCAGTGTCTCCCAGCGGTTGACAGTTGAACCATGGATGGGAGGAGCCAATTGTCTACGACACAGTCCAAATGTGACCATGGAGATTTTTCAAGGGTGCATCGGTGCATCTTGATTCGTCAGCGGAAGTTCACGAACAAGTTGGGGTGGTGTATCCAAGAATGTATTTTCTCTTTGATTGCTTTGGCGTTGGCCAGAGTGACTGGACCTGGTGATTGCCAATGCCGATCCCCCTGAGGTGGAATGTACATTGAGTATGACATTTTGTAAAGACGCTCCTTTGAGACGGTTGCATTGTGGCTTGAGTATTTTCCATGCAAACGGACCAATCACACCAAAACGACCCTGCAAGAAGCAATGTATAAATATATATATATATATTTGTATCTTTGATAGATTGAAAGTCCAGTGTTGGTGCCGACATGGAGTTTGAAAGACTGGACCACTGCTGCCCGGCCTTAAAAGGTACTTGAAAGCGTCTCCACAAAGATTGGATCAGGCCATGTTGATATTCATGTGTTACAAGCGCACAAAAGAAGCTGGAATTGTACACATTGCTTTCAAAAACAGCGTGGTGGCGGGGGGAGCTTCCTGGACTATCCTACGTCCATATGTAGTAGCGTCCTGTACCTACTAGCTACCTCTCCCTACTAGCTACCTACCTAGCTAACCTCTACTAGCGACCTACCCTCCGTCTTTAAAAAATGATTCATTTGTCAGTGGAGATCCTGCAGGAAAATATAGGCATGTATTCTGCAAAATTCTTCTTGCCTTGGACAGGCTTTGCACTATGCTGGTCAACATGGCTACATCTATGCCGTCAAGCTTGTCCGAGGCACTGAGCTTGCCGTCAAGTTGTTGGTGTCTTAGAACGTCAATCAATCACTGTGGCATCCTGATGGTACGTTGGGAACTGAATCTGACCACAGCGCTGACCCTTGCTGACCACAGCGCTCTCAAGCACTCGGTGCCCACGGCCCCTCACGGCCCGGTCAAGAAAGGAGAAGCTGCCATGGCGGCGCTGGCGCTGAGCGAGGTCAAGGCTACCGCGGCTACCCAGCAAAAAAAATTGAACGCCAAGAGCACTGTCCATCTGGACAAAACGCTCGAAGCTCGTTATGATCGGAGGTCAGAATGGTTTACTCTGGCAAGCAAAGCTGCCTGCATTCAAAGGTTTGCTTCCTGGGGACAGATGTTGTCTCGTCCACTTGAGTCCCTTTTTTTTTTGCAAATGATTATATAGGTTTATACAAAAAGATAACTGTTGAGAAGTTGCGGAGGCTGTTCTGCTTGGGGCGTAGGCGTCGTGTAAGCATTTTGCGTAGGTGGGTGTTGAAAGACTTGCATAGGCAGTCTTGCGTAGGCACACCTTTGATGAACGCATGAGTTTTCTTGTTCAGACTTCTAGGTGAGAATATTTGTACACAACATCTGTTAAGCTTTGCAGCCGAGGAAGTGATTGAAAGCCTTCGATATCAAAGAGGGCCGGCAGGGAGAAAACCGTGGATGGATGAGGAAGCTGTAGGGGTTCATAGCTCTGGACTTTGTGGACGCACAGTCGCGAATCGTCGCCAAACAGCATTTCCAAATCTTAAGCAGACACATTACTTAATTAAAATATACAGTAAACCAAATCAGTCTATTACACGCTTTCCATGCGTGGTAGAATTGAAATACAGGATAGGAGCAAGGACGCTACTAGGGGCTCCTGGCCTTACTACTAGGAGCAAGGACGCTACTAAGGAGCAAGGACGCTTCTGACAAAAAGCCCTTTTCATACTTTCTCGTCTGCTGGACGGATCTCGGGAGGACGGCAACATCACATGGTCTCCGGCACGCATCCAGGTGGCCACCTTCGTGTGGTCCCAGGTCTTTGAAACGACCATGGGCCTCATCATCGTGGGAAATTTGTTCCTAATCATGTTTGAAGCAGATCAGGACGCCAAGTGCTATCCTAGCCATCTGAATTCCGTGGCTGAGTGTGAAGATCGAAGTGACAACATTCAGTGGCTTGTGATCGTCAACAACATCCTGCTTATCATCTACACCGTGGAATGTTTACTGCGAGCCTTCGTGGACCGAGGGAGGTTCTTCTGCAACACGTGGAACAATATCGACTTGCTCACTGTCACCCAGCTAACAAGTGAGAGATGTAACAAACCTCTTGTATCCAGGGTAGGTTGCCATGAATGTGCATCGTTGGGCGCTTCATGCTTGCAGATTTTGTTGGTGACCATCCACAATAGACTAGGGCCAGGGAGCTAAGCTTCCTTCACCATCACCCTGAAGGCAAAGAGGGTGTGCAAAATATCCCGTAGATTCCTTGTCGCTTCCCTCGGATCAGCTTCCTTCTCTGAGTCTAAGTTATTGATTTCGTTGTTTATCCAATGAAAAGCTCAGGTTCTGTCAGGCTGGCTGAGCATCATTCTGGCCAATACCCCTGCAAAACTTGGCGTCGATTTGAGCATTTTGAAGCTCTCAAGACTGGTGCGTGTGGTGAGGGCAGCACGGGTATTCATCTCGGTGCCTGAGCTCTACCTCTTGACTCTTGCCATGAATGATACCTTATAGCCTTAGACTTTTGGTGCACCGAAGAGCTCACAGGATCATGACAAGAGCATTTACTGACCATTTGGGTTAGTACTACTGGCTGTGAATCGCTGGCGTCGATCGGAAGTCGTGTTCGAAGAAAGCGCAATTTGAGGATAAGTGGCCTGGGATCCTCTATCAAGGCAATCTTTTTTGGAGCTTTGATGCTTGCTGTAGTTCTGTCTTTTTGGGCAGTGATCTCTGTCGAACTCTTGCACCCGACGACTTCGGCGCTTTCGACTCTTGGCAAAAGCTGAAGGGGGGTGAATTCTTCGACGGCTCCCAAGTTCAGAAGATCTTTAGGAAAAGACACATTGTTTCTTACTGAACCTAACAGGGTACAAAACTTCCCTGCAACATGATCGTTGCTGCGGGTTCAATGGGGGTCCCTTCTTTCAGGAATTCTGCCTGAGCATGTTAGTTTGGCTGGAATGATTTCAACAAGAAAGGGCGACCACCATTTCTTCCTTCCAGTAGCTTCAGAAAACACTATGTCTACAATCTAGTTGCTGCGTTGGAGAGTTTTGCACCTGAAAATGCTTAGCATGGTGCGGCAGAAACCCTACAAAGCCTGCGTTCTTGCAGGAATTCGTTCCCGATGAATAAGGTCCACTTGGGTCAATTCATTTCACACCACAAAAAGGATCGACCCCACATTTCTATGTTGTGGTGACGGTGCAGAGATGCGCCACAACCTATATTATAAACAGCATTAAATAACGTAACATTTACATATTCTGTATGTATGTATGTATGTATGTATGTATGTATATATATATGCTATAGACACATTACATGTATATACATATGCTCAGTGCTGTTTCTGAGAGAGCAGATGTGTTGTGGTGTGGGATGCATGGCACAGAACTAATGGACATGTGTAATGTCTTGGATGACCTGCTATACAGCCACGGTCATTTGTTTATATCAGTTTATGTGGTCATGTGGTCGATTTCATTTGCTGCTGACGTTCAATGATTGTGAACGATGCGCTTTGGCCTTCCAGAGCGTTTGGGAATCCTGTGTGACTCTATTTCAGCAGATCGTTGCAGGAGACAGCTGGGGACAAGTCTCGGTCCCACTGATCAAAGCGCAACCCATGACCTTTCCCTTGCTTTTCATCATTATGATGACAGTGTCCCTGGGCGTTATGAATTTGATTTTGGTGCCTCAGCTGCCTTAGCTTTTTCGAACGATGCTTACTTGCTTCAATTCACAGAACGTAATTATTGTGGTTGTCGGTTTGTATGGCGTAGCCTGTCATGCATCTTGGGCAGGCTGTGATCGTAGAACGAGCTGCCGAAGCTCGTGCAAACGACAAGGAAAGGAGGTTAAAGGAGAAAGAGCAGGAGCGTGCCAGATGCTTGGCAGCGGTTTGTTCATTCGCTGGCACCAGTTATACAGCTATATCCGCGAACTGTTTACATCTCCGACCATCCAAAAGATTTGAGTCCAGGAAGGTATGTGCCATGAGTTCGACGGCTTATGCCATGTAAGGCAATATGGTCGACTTAGCCAAGCTGTGTGCATCGATGGATGTCGATGGAAGCGGCTCTCTTTCCCTGGACGAGATGCTCCAGGGATTTGATGAATCCGAAGCATTTCAAGCGCTCATGGAGCATCGCGGTTGTAGACGGTAGATAGTTGTGGTTTTGTTTGGAACCCACAAGATCCGAAACAATACATTGATCCCACAATGACATTTGGATCTTGGAATCTGTTTGAACATACTGCAAGCATGTCATTCTGTATACGCAACTACAATCATTTACAATAGACCGGCTTTGTGGTCCACACAGCTTCTAAGTGACTGCCTTGGGATAATACGGAGCGACGGCTGTTGAATTCTGGAGCTCCGGAGACACATATGCAGTGAAAGTGCCTCTCATTCACATGGTTTTGCATGAGAATGTGGAAGAGAACACATAACTCTGCAGACTAGGCTTGGGGCTGCGAGAGGGATTCCAGTACCAAGGCATATGGATGTGAAGCGGGACGATGTGGAAACGATTTTCAACGTCCTGGATGAAGACCGACCGCCACCATTTGCTCAGAAGACGTTTTATATTTTTTTTAATTGAAGGGAACTTCCTGTTTGCAGCTTGTGCCATTGAGCATGACACCTTTTCTATCCTTTTCTGAATTATACAATATATATATATATAATTATATATACATATCACATGTTTTGGGGGCAAGGACCTTGACTTGTTGAAGTCCTTTTTGGGGCGTCCACTTCCCATCGCCGTCCCATCCGACCGAGGTTCGGGAGAGGTCTCCTATTTGGAGTTTTGCAAGCACTTAGGCAGCTTCTTTGAGAGAGATCCCAAGATTGTCGGCTCCCTCGTAAAGCACCTGGGTCTGATTTTGCTGGCCTGATATGAGTTTTTTTGCTGGCCTTGGCATCCTTTCAAGTCCTAATTCATGAAGTGAGAATGGTATCGATGGCCAACCAGACAAGGCCTAGCGAGCTTTCAAGTTCTGAGGTATTCAATGATAGAGGTGAGACAAGTCATCAAGGCTGGGTGGGTTCATGGCTTGGGATCAAATCAGATGGCTGTCCTTATTGCTGATAGGGAGCCTTACAACACCAATGAACAAGTCCTTGTAAAGGATAACCATCTCTAAGCAGTTCTGATATGCCACATGTGGTTCAGGTGGGAAGTCTAGTCAACCGCAAGGTCCGGCGGACATGGAATGGATTTGATTTAGCTGCTTCGCTCGAACCAGCCGGAACATTGAGACATATCGAAAAGGTATGCAGGATGATAAGTCCACCAAAATGAGACTTTCTGGCTAATTAGCTGATGTGGACACCTAGGGAGTTGCCAACATTGGAGGGCAAAACCCAGTTAACTTCCTTACTACAGTCTTGAAAACGAGGAATCTCAATGTATCATGCAGATAGAATGGTTTGTCAGGAGGAGGTCATCGCCATCCTTCACCAACATACGGAGATGCTCACGGAGCAGCGGCTGCTGCTGGACGGTCTTCGGCATTCGGCCAAGGCGGCCGATCTAAAACGATCGGACACGTTGATCTCGGAGCCCCAGGACGGCCGGTCGGTCCACCGTGTCATTTTTGGTCATATTGTCTCCTCGGTTTATGCGTTGGCATTTGGTCGTCACATGTGACACAATGGTTGTAGCCTTACAACGATCGAAGTCTCCAAGTTGGATGTTCAGAAAGTCTTGCCGCGGAAAGCCCTGTCATTCTCAGAAATCTTGAGCGGAGGAGCATGTGATC